TAAATCTGAACTTATTTTATTAAAAAATTATATTTAACTTATAAAAGTAAAAAAAAATTTTAATAATTATTTTCCTTTTTATTACAAAATACCTATATTATTTGAATAAAAAATTAACTTGAGTTTAAATATTATTTTGATTATTATTTAAAAGTAAATTTCAAAAAATTAACTTTAAGTTTAGATATTATTTTAATTACTATTTAAAAGTAAATAAGATATATATAATTTTTGATAAGTTATTCTTAAATAATATGATTTTATAATATAAATATATTATTATATTTAATATTATATCACTTGAAAAGATCATGAATTTTACTTATAGATAATTATAACTAATTCTTATAAATCATAACAAATATTTAAATAATAATATAAAATTTTTATTTATTTTGAATATGAAAATTTTTTTTGAAAGTTAGTGTTAATTCAGGATTATCTAAATTCACTATAAAAAACTCATTTATTTTAATAAAGGATCAAATAAAAGTTTTTTCTAAAATAACAATCACGTGATAAATATTTGCTATAAAAATAAATTCTGAAAATTTTGCTTCTAATACAAAACCTCGAATTTTATTCCATCGAAAATATTTCGGACGGGACATCCTTACATTCATTTCATCAACTTCAGCTACAAATCAATACTAATATAAGTTAAATTATTACTTGAAAGTTTTTCTTAATAATCAAATAATTGATTGAAATTTCTTTATTTTTTTTAAAAATATAAAAGTATATTAAGTCTCTTTATGTTGTTTGAGAGCATCACCTGTAAATAATTAATAAGTTTTTTTTTTTGATCACATTAAATATGGTAAATGATCGTGATTGTCAATAAAATAATCGTTCGGCAAGATGATAAAATAATGATTGTAAAATGTTTATTACTTACTAATAGCATCATTTAAATATTCTACAAAATAAATTAATTTATAAATATTAAAAATCAGATTTACCTTGAAAATTTTCACCTTTAATCAATATTAGAATAATTACCAATATCTTGATTTCCTGTCTCACACCAGTCATCATCTTTATCATTTAGTATGTCATTCAATTTTTTAGTAAATTCAAGTAAACGACTCGTACGATACGCTTGTGGATGAGATTTGATAGGTTCAGATGTAAACGAAATATTAGTTTGAGTTTGTTTTAAAACTTTGTCTTGTGTCCGAAATTCTATCACATCGTTTATGAATTTGTCATCAACATCATTATTATAAAGACCATCAATCCAACTCCCAATAACATCCTTAATTTCTAATGTGACTGGCCTTTTTAACGGATCACCATCCCAGCATCTTTTCATCAAATCTATATAACCTTGTGGAATGTTTTCAATAATTTTAGGACGTTCGCCCTTACAAATACTTAAACCGAGATATAAATTGTGTGATCTATCATTAAATGGAGGAATTCCGGAAATCAATTCCCACATAATCATGGAAAAACTATATATATCACTAGCGGGAGTATAAGGGTTACCTTTTAAAACTTCAGGCGCTACAAAAGGCAAAACGCCATAAATATGACTGATTTGAGTTGAAGATCGAAATTCCCCCATAGGTTTACATAACCCCAAATCACAAATATCAGGATTTAAAATGTTGCCATCATGAAAATCACGATGAACGAAATTTAATTGATGTATTGTAGCAAGTCCACTAATGATACGATTCAAAAAATCCATTTTATAACACCAATCCTCCTTAACTATTTTGGGTAAATATTTTCTTAAACTGCCTCTTTCTTCATATGTCATTGCTATCATATAATTTAAGGTACCTGGATCTCGAGTAAAACCGTATAATTGAACTAGATTATGCGTTAATTGACTACATTTATAATGATACTTCCACTATAAAAGAATAAATAAAGGTTTAAAATTTTTGAATCGAATATTCATTATAAAGATTAATTAATATTCAAACCTCATTTAAAAATTCCTCATTTAAATTTGACGAATCATTGATACATTTAATAGCTACGGGCCATTCGTACTTATGTCTAACCCATTGCCTTTTATCACAAGACCATGTCTTAATGTGTCCATCCAACCAATTCGCCTTATATACAATACTAAATCCCCCTTGATCAAGATATTCAATATTATCAAACCTATCATATGGAATCCATTCTAAAACTAGGCTTTCTCTAAAAGCATTCAATTGAGATTCCTGAATGAATTTGTCGATGAATTCATTTCCACTGGTCCAATTAGGAAAATCCTGTCGAAACCGTTTCGCATTGCATTCTTTGCACCATCTGGCCGTTTCGTAAGGTTCATTACATTCGGGACATTGAGGTTCTTTAAAATTATCATTCTTCTCTGCGCTTTCATATAGATAATAAAGAATAATTTTCGAAGAATGAAAATTATGGATTAAAAATTTACAATATGAATGAACAACATACTTTTATTAAAGATTTTAAATAATTTCCTAAACATTTTTTTAAAAAAAAAAGATAAGAAAATTGCAAAAATCCAGGTAAGCATTTATTGTAAATCTCTAAATGGTAAGATTTTCCTCATTTTATAAATTTATAAATTTATACTAAAAAAATTTGATCCTTCAAAAAATAAAACTCAATTTCATGATTCTATTCTTCAAAACAATAAAACTACGGTGGTTTAAAACGCTCCACATGTTAATTTATTGATGTTCATTAGTAAAACAGAGAAACTTGAAACAACTGGATTTTTTGTTAAATAAAAAATATAAAAGCGGCTTGTAATGATGATTTTCCTTTAAATGTGATCATCCAAATTTAATTATGAACTAAATAAAGCCAAGACATTACATTCAAAATTCCACCAGTCCATTTTTAAATCTTTTGTTGAACCTGTTTAGGGATTGTTACCGATAATCCTTGAAAACGTAATTTACAATTCCATAATAATAAAACGTATTTTCTTATCCTACTTAAAACGGTTTAATTTCGGGCAATAACCTAAATTAGTTTCGGTTTTGCTACGCTCTTTTATACTCTTAATAAAAATTTTTCAGGAAATTTAAAGTTGCCTTATTATTGTTTATATAATAATATTTATTTAATTTGACAAATATTATTTCGATTCATGTATTTCCCCGATGCATAAGATGTCTGTTAATAAATTTATTGAACGATTTAAGTAATATTCATATTCCTAAATATAGAAAGCATTGTAATTTATTAAAATTTGTACATATGAGGTAATCAATAAAATAGCCGAATCTCCTGCGAAGTTCCAAGGGATTCCATGGAACCGTGGCGTATTCTTAATCTCTAGGATTGAAATACGCCATGATCTTGACAAATGCATACTAGCGTTTGAAATATAAAGTAAAATAAATAATATATAAATAATTTATAATAAAAATATATAAATGAAACACAAAACATGATGTTGGGTATAAATAAGAACGTTGGATTTTTTTTTGTAGAGTGTCATCATTAGCAGATCCCAAAGGACATTTTTTTTCACATTCCTTTATTGTTTTGAAATTACAATCAAAAAAAGTATGTTTTCACAAGAGAATAAGAATTTAGAAATTATCCCATTCCTACAAACCAAGCACACCCTTTCTATAATCTTTAAAACTCTTTTCATCTGTATTGTCATTTGGAACGTTAGCAATTATTTGTTTTATATAAAGGAACAGAATGGTACCGTAGAAAATATTGGAGGGTATGAACCCACACACACATCAGACGTAAGTTAAAAGATCTTTTATTTATTTTTTTATCCCAAAAAATTAACAAAAAATTGTTTTCTTTTTTTTTTTTTTTTTAAATAGACGACACTCATTAATAACACCGAAGCCGATGATGTAAAAATAGCACATGACATCGAGGTAAATAAAAAGTACTGCGGATCGGCCGAATGCAAATTCTTATTTGCACATTATATAACGGAGCAAGAGTCACAAGCAAATTCACATTTCTATTCGTTCATACAATTGGCGGAAATGCTTAACCGTACAATCGTATTGGTAAATGTACAAAATTCGAGATTGGGATCCTGTCAGAACCTTCCGTTTAGTTTCTATTATAACGTGGAGGCGATCAAGGCATTGTTTCCAAGGGTTAATTTTATCACGCAACAGGATTTTCAAAGTTGGACCAAACAACTTTATCGTAAGCCAAACACCGTTTTCAGGTATATTGAACAAGATGGTATACCGAATACGACAAGAACGATAACGATAGATTTGGATGTCCTCTTAAAGGATGAATGCCTTGAACAATTCGACCTTAAATTTAAAGATGATGATTCCATCTTCAAGATGCTTTATATAGGGGTAAAAAATTATTGGAGTACGCCGATGGGTAACCTTGTCATCATAGATTATCTAACCAAACACCTAGATCTTAACGAACCAGTCCTATTAATCAGACACGAACTTAGGTATCCCCTATTCCCTTCCAAGGGACCCATCGTACCATTGCCATATGCCAACCACTTGGTGGAAGCGGCGAATAAGGTAAAGGACCGATTAGGGGAATATATAGGGATTCACTGGAGAATGGAATCCGCCAAACCGGAATTGATGCCTGCTTGCGCAAAAGGGTTGATTAAATATATCAAAAAGATGAAAGTCACGAGTAATATTGAGAACGTATTTTTTGCCACGGATTATCCTTTAACCAATGTGGGGGAAAATAAAACGCAATCAAATACATTCCTAAACATAAACAATAATCATCATTTGGCGATGAAACAGTTACGTACGGCTTTCAAGTTAAACACTTGGGTATCAACGAGATCTTTAGATTATCTTTATGAAGCGTTTCCCGAGTACAGAAAAGAAATCGATCAAGAATTTGATGAATCTGGAATTCAAGGAATTCTTGACAAGTTGGTTTTAATAGGAGGGGATTATTTTGTAAGTGGACCACGTCAATGTGCTAGGATATTGAGTAATTTTACAAAAAGGATTAGCGAAGAAAGGCAGAGATTAATAGATGATGGTGATAAGACGATCCGTAACGATATTTCACGATGGACACTAAAATAAAGAATTTCAATTCTTTTTTTTTTAGCCAAAATAAATAGACTTAATTATCATGTAATAGCTAATTAGTATTGTTTACTTAATAAACCTGTACAGAACATTTTTTCATCGAATGAATAATCTTTCGCTATTGAGTAGGGTTTTTAGCGCAATGATATAATTATTTGTCTCGGTAATTGAACTCCAGGCTTGACTATTAAGAAACAAGTGTAGAGTTCTTGATTTAGTAATAATTTACGTTAAATAGCATCCTACTTTTGCATTGTATATGGACCTTTGCCAAACATGTTTCGAATTTATTTTTAGTTCAAGACAATGCGTAAGATTAAATTTGCACATGTTCGTTAGATTCCGAGCTTTGGAATCTAAATTTACATTTACATGCTACACGAACTTCACATTACTCGAAACATGTGGGTTTTTGGGCATTGATAAAGTTTCAATTTGTCACATTTTCTCAACCAATTTGCTAGCGCAATCGACATTTCTATATTTTAAACAATATCAACCGAAACTATTTAAGAACTAGTTTCGACTAAGCAAACCTAATATTTGATATTAGCCAACCATAAATGAAAAAAAAAAAAAAAATGACAAAAAAATATTTGCCAAATATAGAAATTCTAAAATTAGAAAACGTGAGAAAGATGGGTTTTTTTTATCATTTTATCCAAATATTTGTAAAATACGATCCTTTAATAGGATCAATATTTTCAACCTTTAACCCGTCACCATTTTCCTATAATAAGTTTCTTCCCTAAGGATATTCTTCAATATTCTTCTTTGATAGGAATAACGACATTAATTTTATTAATAAAGGCATTATTATAACCGCAACCTTTTTTTTTTTTCTTTTTCTTTTTTTAACTACGGCAAGTTTCATTGTTCTTTACATTTAGCTGAAACAAACATGTTTGTGATCGAAACTGTAGATCTAGTGAAGTTCTACCTATAAAGTGAGATCACATTTCTTTTGTAGTGAAGCAAAAAGGAGTTAAATCGATCGTAAAATCAAAGATTGATTTAACCCTTTCGACGAGGGAGGGAATAAACAATATTATTAATTTGGTTAATAAATAATATAAACAATTCCACTTTCTTGGTTAATCCATGCAATGTGAGCATGCTTGCTTACATTAATAAATAGGGAAATTCCCATATTTGGGTTATAGGTATATTAAACAAATAATTTATTGACTCCTTTTACTATTTGTCAGTACTTGGCCATTAAAACGTCAAGCTTATAGTATTGCTTTTTCCGGGGTAATCAATCTAAACAATCATAACCGTTTCGAATGAAAAATTCAATATTGTCTTCATTTGTTTATATGTGAAGGTGCTTACATTCGATCATCATACACCTACCTACATGTAACAAGAAAAAGTATTTATAAACATGTTCACGTCGTAATTTTTTTTTTTTTTCTCCTCAGTCAATTCACTAGATAAAAATTTAATCTTTTTCTTTTTTTTTTTTTTTTTCTATTTGTAAAGAAAAGATAAAATTTATCCCTGTCGCAACGCGCAGAAAAAAAAATTTTTTAAAAAAAAGAAATTCGTCTGCCCCTAAAACCATTTTTTTTTTTTTTTAAAAAAAAAAAGAAAAAAATATGCTTACAAAGTACATTCTATTCATCTCACTCCTATCGTTAATCTTCGTTAAACTTCCTTCCGCGCGTTCACAATGTGTAGATCTCAATCTATTCGATCACACTCAAAGGCATGGTAAACTTTGTCCTCAAATTGAAGATTCACTAAAGAAGGGCAGCTCAAGCCTATTAAATCCGATAGATGCGCCACTTGAACAAATTGAGAATAATGACATGATACAAATATTATTTACATGCGATGAAAAGAATAAACCCGAATTATGTAAAAAAGCGAAATTAGCATTTCAAAACGTGGCAAACGTAATTTCGGATACATTAGATTTCAAAGTTCCAATAATAATTAACGCCAGCTTTACCCAAATATGTGGTAATTTCATGAATTGTGATCCGACCAAACCGGGACCACTTGGAGCTGCGGGACCGTCTAGGCTTATCCCTTTAAAGGATGATGATGGAAAGACGAGATTATACCCACAATCATTAGTGAAACAATTTAAATTAGAGAAACATCCCGAATTCTCGGAGGCTGACATTCAAGCTGGGTTTAATTCTGAAATCTCAACTTTTTGGTTTAGAGGTGATCCCGAAATTGGCGTTGATCAGGTAGATTTTGAATTGGTCTTGATACATGAATTCTTGCATGGTTTGGGATTCCTTTCTTCTTGGGATGATTACTTGAGTTTGGATAATCCAACCGCTCTTACCCCTTTCCCATCATTCTTAATTACCACCGATGATCTCTCATCAAATATTGGACCAATCAAATTTACCGGATTTCAAGAATATCCCTTTGATAGATATTTATCATTAACCAAAGATAATATTCCCCTCTCATCTATTACTGACAAAATAAATCAATTTGCTAATTCCACGACCACGTTTGCAAATGAAAAAGAATTTACTGATGCCTTCACAAATTCCAGTCAATATCTAGAATGTAAGCAAATGCTTCAAAACAGTATCACGAGAAATTCTATCGTATTCAAGTTACCCGATGATGATTTATATCCAATCGAAACCTCTTTGGTTCCCTATAAATCAGGTTCTACCCTAAAACATGGAGATTATGATAGTTTTAGCAACTCTACCGATTTCTTAATGAGATGGAAATCCCCACGTCAAGTCACCATGGAGAATCTGCTGTCTGTCAATGGTAACGATACCAATTATATCAATCCCATCGGTCCAAAAACTCTCAAGGTTTTAGAGGCTTTAGGGTATGTGTTTATGAAATTCTCCTTTATTTTTTTTTTATTTACTCGAGTACAATTAATTAAAATTTTTTTCACGCTCCCTGAATTCAGATATACAATCAAAAATAATAATAATAAAACGGACAATGAAGTAAAACAAGATGATAATCAGCATAACCTTCAATCCACTTCTGGAACAGAAAGTACAACAATTCATTCAAGCACATTGTTACATGTATTATTAATGATTATAACTATCTTATTGGGGGGTGGGGGTCGGATTTGAACAATTTAAAAAATTATGTAGAAAAAAAAAATTTAATAATGTGAATTTATTTTTAATAACTTCTCTCTTGTAATTAATTAATACTAATTTCTTTATATCCTTTTTGTATTTGTAAAAAGAAAAGAAAAAAAAAATAATTTAAATTTAAGATATGCTCGTTACAGATAAAGTTTTTAAGTCGAAGAAACAAAACCCCCTTTATACGCCAAATTTAGAAACATTTTTAAATAAAATAAACAAAATAAACAACTTGGATTTATCTTACTTATTTTTCGAAGAATGTCTCCTATTTAGGTTTAAGTCTTTATGTCAGAATGTATAATTATTTGATATATATTCAAATATTCTCTATTTGGCAATTTGGCAAAAAACCACTAAATATTTTTTTTTTATGCATAATACGGGTAGGGAAGGTTCAGAACGTAATCTTTGCGTCTAATTTGGGATGACTGATGTCATAATGTCTAAATCACTAAATAACTTCATTATAACCACACCACACACCACACACAACCCACTCCCACCAAAAAAAAAAAAATGAAATTTCTTAAATTTATTAAAAAGAAGAATTTATTAATTCTTGTAACGATTGTAATATTTTATATCATTTATACCATAAGCATTCGTTTATTCTTTGAAAGTAATGGAATCGAAATTCAAAGGGATTTCCAATCGAATAATAATGGTGATCCCGATGAGAAATTCATTACGTACCTACCACATAGCGGATTTAATAATCAAAGAATTTCTATGGAGAATGCATTATTCATGGCATACTTTTTAAATAGAAGCTTAATATTACCTCCAATCGTATTCCTTGACGGTCTAAATCACCTCTATTCCGAGAAAACCGATAAACTTTACTCACTATTGATTCAATTGAATCATGATTCCAACAATTTTACGAGTTGCAAGGATAAACGATGCAAACAAGTTAAATATACCTTATATCCTTGGGATCAATTAATTGACATGAGGTGGATACGAGAACGTATTAAAATAACCTACAGAAGTGATTTTAATTTAACCTCCCTTTTAACTTCCTTGAATATTACCAATGAACAGGAATTCTTATTCTTGAAAGATGAATTTAGTTATCATTATAAATTTTATGATGATTCGAATTCAACTACTTCATTAGATAAATTTCATATGAGAATCAACCTTTCGGATTTAAAAAAAGATCATCATAATAAAAGATTAATTCACTTTGGTAGTTTGTTCTCTTCAAGTAGAATTGTTAAGGAATTACCGGAGAGCAGAATATTTTGGAAGAATTTAACACGAGAACTCGTTCCAAATAATCAAATCTTGGTTGAAATCACTCGGGATATTATAAATGAGTTGGGAGGTCAAGGAAATTTTATTGGTTCTCACATTAGATTGGGTGATTCATTCTTTAACGTTAACGGAAACAAAACCTTGGATAAGATAACGCAAGGGATTATAAACGATTACATCAAAAATTCCGTACCAAATCATCCAAATGACAAATTATTTACTTTATGTAAAGATGATTTGTCCAAACCAAACACGGTACCTTTAGTAATATTCTTGGCAACCGATAAAGACCGATCAAATCCTAGAATACGATCATTTCTCGAAATATTTCCTTGCACGTTTACGCAATCTGATTTTAACTATTCACTTGAACCCTTGAAAAGGGTAATCAATCCATTAGGTAATATGAATATGCAAAAATTTTTCACGCCATTTGTGGATTTATTGGTTGTCTCGCATGGAGTTAAATTTTATGGGACCGAAAAAAGTACTTTTTCATCATACGCTCAAAGATTACACGATATAAATCAAGAGGATAACTCTGTAGATTTTATTTCCTAAAATATAAAAATATATAATGATTATAACAATCGTTCTTATTATTATAATCATTAATCATTATTATTTACGATGTAAGGGATGTATCTTACAATTTTATAAATTTCTTTCGCGATATTATCTTTCTTTAATTATTATAGCTTTCACAATGACAGATATTATGTAATATTATTTAAATATTATTTTATTAAAAACGGAAATAAAAAAAAAAACTTTTCGACGACGCTGTATTCTCTACCTACCGATAAATAAGCAGCATATTTTTAAACAAACGGAATTCTAACAATTATTTTTTAGTTGTAAAGAAAGGTTCATTTTGTTTTTCTAAACAAATTTTTGTCTTAAAGTTAATAAATATTCTACGATTATCCAAAATTGACGACGATCCTTTTTTTTTTTTTTTTTAACGTGAAGGATCACGGAAATTGATTAACGCAACTTCCTAATTTTAATTTGAAAATCGAACATATATTAGTAAACATTTGAACTGTAAAAATTTTTATGCGTTGATGAAGAAGCATCAAATCATTTATAAATGATCCGTCTACGTAAACTTGTTCGTAGTATGCGACGTTTTGATCGGGTAAAAGTATCAGTGATGCTTCTTGGAATTGAAACAACATCGTATCAATTTAATATTTTTACATATTGAAATGTTCGGATTACAAAATTCCCGACAAATTTGTTATCATAGACCTTTAGAACTTGTACAATCGCTTTATTAGGAAATCACAGTTTTTCGTGACATTATTTTTTTTATTATATATGCATAACCTAATTGAGATTTTCATAAAATCGAAATACCCATCACCAATCATCTAGGAAATAAGTAGAAATTAATTAAATTTTAATTACTAAAGTAATAAAAGTAATAATAGGTAACTAATAAAAATCGTAATAGTAAAAATTATATTATTTAGATTAATGAAATAATGAATAAGGACAAAATACATAAAAGTCCAATTCCCCAAACTGTACTTCTGACCATTGGATAATCAAACCAATACAAAGGAAAATAAATCTATTGAATCGCAACCGAACGTAGGGAAAAATTAATTAATTAGCACTTGATTCATTTAATTCGAATGATAATAATATAAAATCCAAATCATAATAATCCAAATTACTTACCACTCGTGAAACGATATAAACAACACATAAAATATTAGCGGTCATTTCAATGTTATTATATTTATTACCAAAAGGGTTCAAACTTAACATATGAGAAAATGCGTACATAAATACTGCTATAGAGAAGAAAACAAGTCCTTCGAATGTATTATTTGCTGCTCCAATTGCCCTTTTCCCCCAATCAGGCTATAGATGTACAAGAAAAGAAATTTAATATATCATTTAAACCAGTTTAGAAATCTCATTATATTTACCAGTCTATTGTATTGATCTCTTGGATTAGAATTATCATAGCCTTCTTCTTGTAATGCTTGAGCTCTTCGTACTGGTACTAATGCAACGAAATAAAATAAAAAATTGATAAACACACAAACGAATGGAGTTCCAACTCCTGAAGAAAATTCCATCTTTTCTCAAAGGAATATATTATTAATTTTTTATTTTTTTTTTTTATTTTTATTTTTTATTTTTTGATCAAAAGAAAAATGAAATCGTTTTCTGCTATTAAAGGCGTTTTTATCCTTTTATATACATATGATGCATATTAATTTGGGTTTAAACCTTGACCATAAACAGTATGATCAACATCCACTTTAAATGATAAATTGGGATTACCAGATATTGACAACACGGGATGTGTATTGGTTTACTCAAAGTAGTGATACATTTCCAAATTCCGAAACATTTTTACTTGAAGACATCTTTATCTGACTGATAGTTGTTGTATCAATTCCTTTCATATCTATAATACGTCGTTTCTTTAAACAATCAATTAAAATTATGTACAGAGCGCTGATTACCGTAATTTTTAAATATTTCATGCGGACGAGGTTTGTGAAAGAAAAGAATTCTTTGGTTCATACTTAAACCTAGAAATTATTGCAAATGGACTTCTGAATTCCCCTTTTATAATAATGCAACCGTTTTAGGAAAGGAACTTCCCCTATTCTCTATTCCATAATCAAATACGTAGGCGTAAAATAGGTAACTTATTCAGTCAAATGTAACGTAACACGGCTATCGAAAATCGTGATAGCCATTTTTTTTTTTAAAAAAAAACAAAAGCAGTCATTATTGCGTATCCATTTGTAACTCTGTTTTTAATAATGTCTCTCTATTTACCAGCAGAATTATTAAACAAGATTTTCTGTTTTGTTGATGAAAATGATGTAAAAACAATTTATTCTTGTATATTAGTAAATAGAGTTTGGTGTAGTACCATGATTCCGCACTTATGGAAGCGTCCTTTTCGCCTTGCAATCAAAAAACAATCAGAAAAACTTGTACCCGCGTACTTTTCATTCTTCTCCAAAGAAACGAAAAGTATTTTACAATTTTATACGCCTACTTCCTCCTTTGATGCGACGCCAACCTTTGATTACCCAATATTCCTAAGAGAATTGGATTACAGCGAAGTTTATTTGGCGATAAGAAGATGGTGTGATATACGTAATATAACAAATAAATCAACAGGATTTGAAGTTTTTAAACAACGAGGACGTCAAATTCTTTTCATACTTCAAGAGTTAAGTAAATTATTCATGTTAAAGTGTAATAAATTGGATTATTTATCTTTGGACATTAATGCAATTAGGTGTGATACTTATGGAAGATTAGCAGAGTGTATGATGACCCTGGCTAATTTTCCGGGTGCTTCACATTGTCTTGTTCCATTAAAAAAATTTGTTTCAAGAGGAATATATGATAAGGATATTATATTTAAATCTTTGATTCAATATTGTAGAAATATTGATGAAATGATCATTGAAGATAGTGATGCTACTGAAGGGGACTCTCTCGTAGATTTAATTACCTCCCAAAGGAAATTATGTAAATTCACAATTGGAAATTGGTGGGGTTGTTTATTAAAGATATTAAAATCTTTGGGAGATCAACGTAATAGTTTGACTTACATTGAAATTTATGGATGCCATTTTCGTAGTGACTTTGTTAATGATATAATCTTTGATGGAGTGATCTGTTGTAAAAATTTAGAAACTTTAAAGATCGAAGAATGTTATAACTTAACGAGCAATATAATGAAACCATTAGCAACTACGATATTCCCGAAATTACACACCCTTTATTTCTCCAATTATTTATTAATGGAAGATATAGAAGATTTTAATGACCAAGGGATGATCCCAAATATTGATCAAGATCGGGATCACACCCATTTAGAACTCATAGCTATTATTCAAAATGCGAATTTAACTTTAAGGAATGTAAGATTGAATATGGATTTATTGGATTATCCTGATATAATTGCTACTTGCGCTACAAATTGTCCAAATATTACTCATTATAAAGCAAGGATTCAAAATCATTCGGAAATGTATCAATTATTGCAACTCTTAAAATCTTGTACTCGATTAGAAAAATTGGAGATAACGGCAGAGAAATGGGAGTGTTCTGATCTTGGATTGCCATGGGAAATTGATTTGTTTTTTCCGGAATTAGGAAAGTCATTACCAAAAACTTTAAAATGTTTGGACATCGATGGATGGAGTTGTACTCCATTAGGTTTAAGTAATTTTTTAAAGAATTGCAATGTTGATATTAAAAGAATGAGTTTGATGTGTTATATTAGTAGTGCTGGTTATTTGGAGGTCATAGAGAAATATGCGAAATTAAAAGGCAGAATGATCAATAGACATGAAGAAAAGAAAAAATGGGGTCTGAACCTTACTTTGATCGTAGATTTCGATTAGAAAATTGTACGAGGCACGTGTGCAAATGTAAATTTTACGTTATAAACTTTTAAACAAAAACAATTATATTTAAAATGTAATAATATATTTGGTAATCGCTTTTAATTTTTGCGATATCATTGTCATAAGAAAATTTTAATACTGTAAGCGAGAAGCTGGTTAAAAAAAAAATTTTTTTTTTTAATATGAATCTATAAAATAATTAGGGAATGATCGACATATATTGCAAAACTAATATCTTTGACAAATCTGATAAATTGCTAAAAAAAAAAGTAATTTTAGAAAATATAATGAGTGAGTTTATGTGATATTAGGTATAAATCGAAATTCTCTAGTTTTTTTAAATAAAAAATTATTTAAAAGTATCAATTAATTTTTAATCATTTATAATATTTTATTTAAAAAATTATTATAGCATAAATTTCAATTTTTAATAATAATGATAAACACAAATTTTTTTGAATAAAATAACTAAAAAATAAACTAGATTAAATAAATTAAAAAAGTGATTAATATTAAGTAATAATTAGCTAAATGCTTAAGATTAGTATGATTTTTTAAAAAAAAGTTAAAAATATTTATTTATAAAAAAAAATAAATTTTAATTTATAAATATTAATTAAAAATATAATTTACTAATTGATTAATATTATTATTATAAAAAATTATTAAAAAAAAATAATAATTTTTTAAAAAATTAAAAAAATTGTAATTGTAAACTTTTTAACCTTCTTATATAATAAAATAATACTTGTGTAATAATGAGGTTTAGAATACATGTATAAATAAATGATTAAATAGTATAATATTATCCAAATTTGCAAAAAGAAAAATGCTTATTAAGAAAATAAGTTATGGTTATATAAATATGTTATACAGATTTCTTTTTGAAAATTTGTATAATATTATGTGATTTACTTTCATTGCTTTGTAACAGTTAGCAGCTAATATTAAATAAAAAGTATTCTATTTTATAATTAAAATTACTAAATTTTCAATCTTAAAAGTTATGTAAAAATGATAAATGCTTTATACAGTCCCTAATGAAAATATGGTAGTTTAAATATTGCATCTATTTTAGGCTAAAACGTTAATTACGTTTCTAATATAGGCCATTGTTTATATGATCAAATTAAAGACTAGAATCATAATATAAAGGTAAATTAAAAAATTATGTTTGTTTTTGTTTTTGTAATGATTTTTTAACTGAAAAAATGCTAAGCTCTTTTAAATTTCAAAGAAACTCTGTTAAGAGATTCTGGAAACAAAACGTGTAAAGTGCAAAGGAAATTCATAAATAATTGTATATTTCTTTGATATATGTGAAAGATATGTCAGTTTACTATGTAAAACTGCTAATATTATTATTAGTCATTCTTCTGGTCATCCAAAAAATTATTTGTAAACTAACACCATTATATCAAAAAAATTTTAAAATACAAACATTTCACTACTGCAAATGAACTTAAGGCAAAATTAGAAGAAAAAGATCCTGAACTTGAGGTTAACGAACATACAGTACGTCACAAATTTAAAAACTTTAGATATGTTTCTATTATACCAAGAAAAGTTTCTCTTTTGACACAAAAAGTGAAGAATATTAGATTGTTTTAGTCACGTGATCATTCGTGTTATAACTGAAAAAAGTTATTTTTTCTGATAAAACAACACTTCAGATGTTTAGAAATACTATTTGTGCATAATCTCATGATGCACAACCAGTTGCTTCTATAGTAAAGTATCTATTCAAAATTCATGTTTGAGTAGCGATTAGCGTCAAAAGAAAAGTTAATATTCATTTGTTTACCAAAATTTGGATCATCATTTATACTGAAATATTCTAAATGATCATTTATATAATAATATAATAGCATTGCTTGATCACAACTGGGTCTTCTAACAAGACAATGATCTAAAATATGTCACACAAGATATTTAGAGTGACTTAAAAAAATATCTTCTAGGAAGAGTTCTTTTTTGGCTTTTGTACAGCCTAAACTTGAATCTTATCAAAAATGTATAAGCTGTATTAAAGAGAAAGGTGAAGAAAAGGATTAAAAATATAGTGGCAAAAAAAAATTATCTGTGATGTTTTCCTTAATATAATCTGGCAGGAATGGGATAATCTTGATGATGGTGTATTACTTCGATACATTAATAGCATACTGAATTAGATTCAAGCATGTATTAATACAGAAGAAATACACATAAAATATTAATTAATTATTAAAAATATTCTATTAGTATTATTCTTTTAAATAAAAAAATAAAAATAAACATTAAAAATAAAGTTTATACATATTGTTAAAAACTGTCTCTGCCATTCTTTCACTAAGGATTATATTTATAATATATTTCTTTTAAGGGTCATATAGAAAATCCATAAAATAAAGTTTTGTAAAAGTAGATATAATTTAACAGTAACTCTAGATGTGTTAGCAGTAAACAATAATAATGATAATAGTAGTATTAATAATGATGGTAATCATTAATAATAATAAAAGAAGTATTGAATTCTTTTAAATAAAATAAATAAAAACATTAAAATTTATAAAATATTTAATAAATCGGATTTATTTTAGCATTTATTTTATTTTTAGATACTAAAAAATGTGATAGTACTTATTTTCAGATACTAAAAATATAAGATAATACTTATTTTTGAGAAGTGCCTATTTTCAAAAAAATACAATAAAAATAATAATTAAATTACCTATATACAGTTAACATTAATTGAATATTTTAAATTAGTTAGAAATCAGATAGCTAAATTTAGACTAATTTTGATATTATAATCAACTCTTAATATAGCAAACTCTTGATATAACGAATTTTTGAACAAATATAATAAAAATACTCTTGTTATATCAAATTGGCCAATTAAATCTCTTAAAATCTTTATTATAATCTTATAATAAAATTGAGGTCTAAGACGTAAAATTCGTTATAACAAGAGTTGATTGTACTATTTAATACATATATGTATATACTTAAAATATTATGAGAAATTTATTTAGTTTTTAAGATTTCACTAATTATAATTAAGAATTTATATAATCTCATTAATTTATTTGTCTAGAAGTTAATATTTATTATAGTATATAGTTCATTTTACTTGAATTTAACTTTAAGATTTACTCAACTAAACTTTATTTAAACTTAGCTGTTAGAATTAGATAGAAAACTTATTTCAGTTACAATAATTAACAATTAATATTTTTACTAATTTTAATTTGTAAGATTTTTACCTATTAAAAACTACTAAAACTATAGAATCAAGTTCTTTATATAAATGATATTCATAGTGATAAAGTTACTTAAAAATTGAAACTGTTCTCTAATTCTACTAATAACAAAATTTAATTTATAATTGCAACATGCAATATAATCTATTATTTTTAAGATACTTCAGATTACTAGTTAATTACTTTCTTATAAAATAAGAAATTTTACCATCTAAAAATTTGAAACAATATTTATTATAGATATATCAGTGAAAATTAAGTTTTTGTTAATCTTTAATTTTATTTATATTCATATATTTTTAAACTTAATATTTAAATATAATTAAATATCAATTAGCAGATTAATCAATCTATTAGTAATATACACTACCCTATCAAAAGTATCTGGTCAATTAATTTAAAAATTATATTTTATTATAATATTATAAATTTTTAATATTTAGTTGGCCATCCTTAACTTTCAATACATGCTTTTATCTGACGTAACATGCTTTCAATTAAATTAATATAAGTTTCAGATGGAATTTTTTTCCATTCTTCTTGTAATGCTTTTTCAAGTTCA